TTTTAATACTTTTTAAAAAACTAGGGTGTATATTTATTCCAAAACAAATGAAAACATCATTTAAACATGTACAAATAATACAAATGTTTATACATATAATTATGAACCTATGACATATGATAAAATTATGTAGGAATGTAATTGCTGAAGAAAAAATTTCAAAAATACACAAAAAAAATTCAAGAAAACAAACAATTTCATGACATAATAAAGTTATATACATCCGGAAAGTAATGCGTCGCATTTTTTTGTGACGCGACTATACATCGCAGAGCGATTAGGAATACCCTTATAACGGTAGGTCGCTCAATTGTTTCCATGCGCTTGGATAACGGCTTATTCTGTGAACCTCTGCTTAGTGGTCGCGTCGAACTTGTGATGGAGAGAACGATAGAGCAACGCTATGCGATAAAGTTTTGCGTGAAGCTGGACAAGACGCCGCTGGAAACTTTTGAAATGCTCAAGAAAGTTTGCGGACTTTTTTTATTTTCGGCTGAAAAGGGAGCTCAAAGGACAACAGCTCGAGTCGGTTGACAACGTACAAGCTACTTCGACGGCCTCCCTGAACAGCATCCCAGTCAAGGAGTTCCAGAAATCTTATGACGCATGGAAATCGCGTTGGCAAAAATGTATTGACGCAGAAGGGTCATACTTCGAACAATTTTAAGTTGTTTTACCTATGCGATCAATAAATTCTTTTTTAAAAAAATGCGACGCATTACTTTCCGGACAAACCCTGTACTGTAAATTTTTAATAGAAGTTTTATATAGAAATAGTATAAAACCTAGTTTAAATATGTTAATTGTTTAAAGGGGATCAATACTGTAACGGCTTAAAAAGTAGCCCTTTTTGCGAATTTTTTGTAACATCCATAAAGCAGATAGATAAATAATGTTTTTGCATTGAATTGTTATTCTTTGAATTATTAAAAAATATTTTTTATTTGATTAAATACATTTTTATTTTAATATAAAATGTGTCTGTAGTAAACTCTGCATTATTTATCGGTTTTATTGCACCTGGGATCCTTAAAAGTCATTTGAAATTAAAAAACCCAAAATTTTTTTTAAGTATTATATATAAATGTAGTTTCAGTTTAGCGTACAGATTTCTTTTTACAATTAAAATTTCCTATTTTTATGATTTGTACGAAAACGGTTTTTTTTTTTTGAAAAATTTTGAAATTTTTTTAAAAAATGCGCCATTTTACGAATAATGAAGACATTAAAATTTCTGTACGCTTAACTGAAACTAATACATTTATATATTTCAAAAAAATCTTGACTTTTTAAATTTCAGATGACTTTTAAGGACTCCACGTGCAAGGTCGATAGATAACACAGAGTCTACTACAAATACATTTTATATTAAAATAAAAATGTATTTAACTAAATAAAAAAATATTTTTTAATAGTTCAAAGAACAATAAATTCAATGCAAAAACATTTATTTAACTACCTGCTTTATGGGCATCTCAAAAAATTCGCAAAAAAGAGCTACTTTTTTTTAGCCATCACAGCGTTGATCCCCCTTAAAGACTACTGTGACCGACCGGAAAAATAGATAATTTTTAAGCATGGATTACGAAGAAATATAAAAAAAACTATAAACTTGTAATTTAATACTTTATTTAAGTACACGATAAAAAAATTTGTTGAAATTTTGGTTTGATTTTTAGCATAAAAATTGTTAATTAATTTGTTAATATTTTGCAAACTAACAATGATATTGAAAAAATCCTATGTCAATGTTTAAAGAAAGGTTAATAAAAAAAAAACTTTAAGTCGATCCAATGAGTACATACCGAAAAATCTTCGACACTAGTGAAAAAAATTAGTTTTTTTTAACATTTAATAAATGATATTAAAAATATTATTTACGTTTTATTTTTACATGCTTTTATACTCCTCGCATACTTAAATAAAGTACTTAATTACAAGTTTATAGCCTTTTTTATTTCTTAGTAACTCACGCTTAAAAATTATTTATTTTTTCGACCGGTCAGTACAGTCTAATCACTTAACAAAAGATTTCGAAACATTTGCTATATTTAGAATATACCGCTCTAACATAAGAAACGTACCCACGAAAATAGTGTGATCAATGACGATAGGGAAAAAAATATATTAAAAATATATTTCAAACATTATTAAAAAATTTTTGTAAAAGTGGACATGTATTTTTAATATTATAGATCCTAAAAAATCGAAAAGATACTTTATATATTAAGAGTTATAAGGGCTTGACAAAAATCGCAATAATTTTTGACTTGTAAATTGTTAACATATAAGAGAATATGTTATCATTTTCTTATTAAATAATAACATTGAGTGATTTGTTAAATAATATAGAAATGGGAATTGTTACATATTTTAGCTCCATTTTTTTAATTTAGCAACAAGTTGGCGCGCCTTTGTGTGCAGACCTTTAGTTAGTCGCGCCGACGTCTCGTTACTAAGTTAAGAAAATGGAGCCAAATGCAACAATTCCTATCTCTCTATATTGTTTAACAAATCACTCAATTATTGTCTAATGCCAAAAAAACGCGACAAATATATTGCGACAAGAAATATAACATATAAGATTAATAAAATATATAGAAAATTGAAAATAAAAATCTGCGATTTTTTTCTCTCGAATGATTTCTAATTATTATTAAATAAAAAAGAAATTATCAATTTAATTGATACACGATGTTAGATATTCACTGCAGATATTTGATAAATTAAAATAATATGTAAAAAGTATAGAATTTAACAACGAGTTGGCGCGCCTTTGTGTGCAGACCTTTAGTTAGTCGCGCCGACGTCTCGTTGCTAAGTTACGAAAATCGAGCCAAATGCAACAATTCCCATCTCTCTATATTATTTAACAAATCACTCAATTATTGTATAATGCCAAAAAAACGCGACAAATATATTACGATAAGAAATATAACATATAATATTAATAAAATATATAGAAAATTGAAAATAAAAAACCGCGAATCTCTTTCTCTCGAATGATTTCTAATCATCATGAAATAAAAAAGAAATTATCAATTTAATTGTTACATGCTGTTAGGTACTCACTGCGGATATTTGATAAATCAAAATAATGATGTAGAAAGTATGGAATTCCTCGAGATAACTTCGCAAATATCGGAGGCACAAAATACACGTCCGTATGGGCTCACGTTATCGTAGAGAAAGAGCGAAAAAACAAAATCGCCGCGCTAGGAGGATCTCGTTAAGTCACTGCACACATCATGCGCGACTTAAGGCGCCAGCGTAGTTAACCAATCAGAAGATCCTAGTCCAAAACTAGCCAATTGGCAATGTATTGGTAGCATATATTGTCCAACCGTGCTTGCGTTGGTTGTGCGCGTAAAAATGGAGCTTTGATATACATAAAATATATTTCATGTACATTCCATGTATTTACGTCAGATGTATATACATACCATATACGCTAATATACATAGATACATTTATGGATATTGCATATATATGGAAATTTAGGCCGGTATTCATAGTCCGATTTTATATTTAAGATCGTCTTAGGCCGGCGTCCCATAGAACGGATTACGCGGAAGCGGAACCAGCGGATCGCCAATCACGGAATTGTTCCGATGGAACTCATCGATAAGTTCTATCGGAACGATTCCGTGATTGGCGATCCGCTGGTTCCGTTTCCGCATAATCCGTTCTATGGGACGCCGGCCTAAGACGATCTTAAATATAAAATCGGACTATGAATACCGGCCTAAATTTCCATATATATGCAATATCCATAAATGAATCTATGTATATTAGCGTATATGGTATGTATTGTACAATATATACATCTAACGTAAATACATGGAATGTACATGAAATATATTTTATGTATATACAGGCAGCGGTCTCGTTTAAATGTGCATGTTATGTATATTCATGCGACATCCTCCGAATATCCATAAATGTATCTACATCAGTGTATGTCGTATGTAGATACATCTGATGTAGATACATGGAATGTGCATAAGATATATTTTATGTATATACAAGCAGCGGCCTCGTTTAATATACATGTTATGTATATTCATGCGACATCCTGCGAATATCCATAAATGTATCTACATCAGTGTATTTCGTATATAGATACATCTGATGTAGATACATGGAATGTGCATAAGATATATTTTATGTATATACAAGCAGCGGTCTCGTTTTAATATACATGTTATGTATATTCATGCGATATCCTGCGTATATCTATAAATGTATTTACATCAGTGTATGTCGTGTGTAGATACATCTGATGTAGATACATGGAATGTGCATAAGATATATTTTATGTATATACAAGCAGCGGCCTCGTTTTAATATACATGTTATGTATATTCACGTGACATCGTGCGTATATCCATAAATGTATCTACATCAGCGTATGTCGTATGTATATACATCTGATGTAGATACATGGAATATATATTCATATGATATTCTATGTATATCCATAAATGTATGTAAATTTATGTATATTGTATGTATGTACGTAGTATGTACAGTATGTTTTTTCCATATTATGGATATTATATGTATATACATAGGATATTGAATGTTTACTGGGTATTTAACTAATAATAAAAAAATTTTTACACCTTATTTATTTGCTCGTTCAGTTGGCCTACTATATTTGATTTATTTAATTTGTTAATTTATACGAGCCTTTCATTAATTAATTTTAATAAACGCTGTATGTATAATTATATATAATTTTATACAATTTCTATTAAAATCATCTTATTAAATTCGTATAAAATATATAATTTTATACAAATTTTATACGATTTTAATAGAAGTTGTATTGTACATAGCTTGTACATAAAATTTTATATATTTCTATATTTTATAATTTATATTGTTATATATTATATATAAAAAACTTTCACCGAGATGCTCAATGCAATAGTCCATATGATATCAAAAACTAGAAAAATATTCTTATTGTGAAATGTTATACGATAAATATGTATTCTATTCTAGCAAAATTTGAAATAACAAGTTGTTTAGAATAACACAGCGTTTCACAAAATAGAGCAAACTTTTGTATGTAGCAGAAAATAATTCTTACTAGATCTTTTCCGTTTCTTATTATTGTCTTCATTTTCATATGATGTAGAAGTTTTTTCTGTGACACACGGAGATACATCTGAAATAAATAATTTATATTACAAAATTATGAAGAGCATCTAAGAATATATACAAAAACTGAACAAAGAATATATTATAAAATATGAGATTATTGTATATTTAATTATATCATTTTTGTATATAATAATTAAAACATCAATTTCTCTTACTTTTTGTAGTATTACTGTAGTCGGTATCATTACTGATGTTACAAAAATCGTTAAGATTTTCGACTTCACTATCTGATGAAGTTTCGTCACTCAAATTTTGTTCTCCTTGAACCGCTTCTAAATATTGAGAAATTTTTAAAATATCTCTGCTTGCCTGTGGCTGCCTATAGTGCTGTTTATGTATCTTATCTGCATGGCCCATAAATGTGGCCAACTCCGAAACTTCAACATCATTTAAATTCAATTGAATACAATGTGTCGCTATGTGTTTCCTTAATATGGTGCCGCGCAAAGTTGTAGAAGCACTTGAATTACATTCTTTTGCAAATTGGCGCATTAAAACACAAGCTCTAAGATATCTGTATCTATGGTTGCTAAAACCAGGCAATCCAAAGATATATGGATTTTTGCTTGGTACGTTAGCTTCTTTTCGCCATTTTAAAATTAAAGTAACACAATTGAATAATTCCTTAGATAATAAAACTGGCACAGTACGTCCTAATTTTCCGCGTATGCAAAATCTGATGTATTTTTCGGCAATTTTTTTATTTTCTGTTGATAATGAAATTATAAATATCGCTATTCACATTTTCACTTACTTTTTCGTAAGTATTAAAGTCTTCAATAAGTGCTCTTTCTATTTCTCCTGCTCGTCTTCGGTTAAATACGTGAATAGAGGTCAATGTAACTTGTGCTAAAGAGAGCCTTTAGAATAAGAAAAAGATTTTTGTAATTCCATGTAAGCTTCCATTCTCGTTTTTTTCAAATATTTATATAAAGCATTAATATCTTCTCGTGATGGGAGGATGATTTTTTTATGTCATTTGTGAGCTGTTTGAGTTTCTGTTACAGTTTTGTTCACACTTATTCCGATGTCAACAGTAAACAATTTCAAAAAATCTTTCGCAAATTTCTTCTTCTCTGCATTTTCTTTTTTAATACATTCTCCAATAAAGATGTTTCCTATTTGTTTAAGTAGTGTTGATAACGTAGATGCAGTAGCTGGTGCTTTATACATTTTTTCTTCATTGTTATAACCAGCGACTATATTGATTGCAGAGATGCAATAATCGTAAATTTTAGGATGATAAATCGATTGAAAGTCTTCGACATCTTTGTTAATTTTCTTCAGTGCCAATAAAAAACGTCCGAGAAGACGCAATCTGGCTCGAATCATATCATGTTGATGCTGGGCCTTGTATTTTGTGCACAATTTATTTGCATATACTATCTATAATTCGTCGTATCTTATAATACGTGTGACTTCGTCATCTCTCATTACAGGAAACACTATTTTTAATGTTTTATTTGCTAAGTGATGTAGTCTGCTCGTTACTCTTCTGCCCATAATCATAATAGTCTTATTTTTATTGAAATTTTTTTTCTGACAATAATGTGCATGGTAACGTATTGTATTTTTTGCAAAAAATCCTTTGCATTTTGAGCAAGCAATAAAATCCATGGCAGTCTTAGTGGAAATTACATTGGGCCGTCTAGATACAATTAATTTTCCGGTATTTACATTCTCGTTTGTATTAAATATGAAATTACCTTGTTTTCGAAGGATATCTATTATTTTCTTCCTTTCTTCATGTTTTTGGGCAAAACAGCGAACTTTTTTACTTCATCTTTATCACGGTGCACTGTTATTAAGTGCCGCGCGAGTTGAGTTTGCAATTTAAAACAGAAAAACCAACAGTTCTGTTTGGATTAACGTTACTTTTATCAACAGACATGCTTCATCATTGCATGCTGTATCAATTATACTTATTTTTGAAGTACGCTAAAACTGGATTGTGAGGATACAGATCTTTTTGTAGCTGATTCTTTTGTAAAGCTTACATTATTGTCATATTGATTGTGCATTCATTTTCTGAAGGAGCGTACTCTGATCCATCATCACTATTTTCCATGATCGTATCTATATTTAACAACAGAGAAGAGAAAATGTGAATATATAAATAGATAAATTTAGATTATTTTTTCAAATGTAATATATAACAGTATTTTTGTAATTACGGTTAATTAAATAAAAATGCTTATAATACGATATACATTTTATGTAATAATTGAATCTCTAATAAGTTTAAACTTAATGGTACTCGGATGTTGATGAACATGTACTTATTTTTTCTATGCAATGTTTGTTGAATTTACTATTGTTCAAAGTAACATTTGGCAATTATATACTATTTTTTTATAATTTTATGCAACAACTGACATATTTAATGTGTATACCATAAATAAACAAAGTATATATAAATAAATAATAGAAATAAAAATTACGTAAAATTTAAATATGATAAATACATATTTATAAATAGATATTTCAAACACTATATAAAGCCATTAAAATCGTGGCAATCCATCTATATAATATATAGAGGTTATTAAATGGTTCTGTTAGTTATAAAAAAAAACAATCACGAAAAAATTAATAAAGTTCACTTACAAAAAAAGTTTACACAAATATTTGCAAATAAAAATTTTCAAAGAGGTATTGGAGGGCTTACTGATATTTTTTGACTGCTCATATCTTATTGACAAGTAATGGATTGCATATATCAATCGATAGATATCAAAACCAGTTATAGTACATGA